TACCCGCTTATTTTTGTCTACTCCTCATCTTTTCGTTCCTGCAGATTTAATTCCACTCGTTCGTATCTCGGCTTCGATTCTTAGCGTGGCTATTTTCGCTTAGGCTATAAGCCTGCGATTTTTTACTAAATGCGGATAGAATTGTCTGCTTGACAGGTTGTTCTTCCGAAAGTCCGATATATTGTTAGAGTATAGAGAAGACTTCGGAGTAAGAATTGCCTGAGAACGGAGAAGAAGTTCAGTTTGCTTAATTTACTAATAGACTACAGGTATTATGATATATACAGTGGAATTATAAGAAATAGAGGTTACCCGGAACCGACTCGACTGCATAAATAAGTGGGACCCCGTACCAGAAAATAATTATCCACTGACTGAGAATACTGGGTCACGCAATAGAAGTACGAACAAACCAATGACTGGATTTGTTCGGGAAGAATGGGATTCAAGCAGACTCTAACGTTGAGTCCGATTGGATCAGAAATGTGGGATCCTGCCCGAACTCAGAAATATAGTTCAGGCAAGATGCATGCAACCACATTGGTCGATAGAAAGAAAAGCAGGAAACTGTATTTCCAACATATATTGAACTCTCATTTGTTTGAGTTAGATGTCTAGTGGAAGGATTGAGCATTCGTGATCTAGAGCTCTACTGCTGGTGGAATTATATGCCCCTGTAACTAGCTTCAAGCATTTTCTTTGGATACTTCGCAATGATTTATATATCCTTTCTGGTATTCTACCCGTCGGCCCAGCTGCAGCCCATATTGAACACCCGTAAGTCAGGGCTGGTCTCACAATCGTGCTGTACAAATACTTTGACTTCTTGGATGTTGCACCCCAAGTTAATTGCGTCAATCTACTTATCGACTGTACTTGGGTGTGTGAATTTTGTACAATATGCTTTATGTGGGAGCCCCATTGAAGCTTAGGGTCGAAGTAGATCCCAAGGACTTAGAGGGAGGACTGCGGAGACGTCAGATGTCCTTGTATGCTGACAGTTACTTCTAGGTTGTGTCGCTTCCTTGCTTGTGTGAAGTGCATCAGCTAGTACTTCTCCGGCGCAAACTTCACGCCGCTCTTTTCTGCCCACCCCCCGCATATCCCGTGCTGTTCTTCTAACTTCTTGCAGTTCTCTTCAGTTTTACCTGACCATGTTAGTATGTTAGTATCGTCTACGAACCCAACAGTAGAAGAAGAAGGAATTTGTAGTATCGGTAGGAGCGTGCTAACGAAGACCAGAAAAAGAATTGGCGATAAAGATGACCCCTAAGGTATTCCTGTGCTAGTAGGTATTTGATCTCCTCTGTATGTACCGAGGACTACCGAGGTAGTTATCTCTTCTAGCAATGATTTTACAAATCTACTGATCCACCCTGGAATACCTTTTACTCTTAGGTTGTGAATTAGCCGTTCGTGGGAGACTTTATCGAAAGCCCCTGATATTTCGAGACTAAGAAGAGAAGCGGTCTGGTTACTGTTTCTTCCCCAAATAGTGTGTATCTGCTCAGTGATAATCTCGGCTTCTTATATCGTAGATCTTTAGGGTCAAGCTCCCATATGCTCATCTGGGAGGAGGTTAAAGTCTTAGGCCGCCTTTGGGATTCGGTTTGCTACTAATTTTTCGAGAAGCTTACCCATTTTCTTGAGAAGTACTGTCGATTGATATGATTTCGGTGAGTCGTATCTAGGCTTCTGTGGATTTCGAAGAATAATCGTATTCTATTCTTTGAATTTCTTTGGATGATATCCGATAGAAAGGCAAGCATTGAATAACTCAGCGAGATATTTACTCAGAGTTGTCCTACATTACTTGAGTAGTCGTTTTGGAATCCCGTCTGGACCAGGAGCCTTATCGCTAGGCAGTTTTCCTAGGATTTCTTCTACCTCGGCACTGGTAATGGTGTCGGAGATATTATCCAACTCTTTGAGGTTAAGGGTTGCTACAATTTCTGATGTGTTTGCTACCACGGGTTTGAGGGAAGAAATTTTCTGCCATGACTCGGGCTATTTCCGGAGCTTCAGTATGAACTCTTCCGTCAGTATCTTTGATATCCACTATCTGAGGTAGCCTCTGTTTCTCCTTTGATCTTTTCTTGCCCACTTGGCAAGTTTCTAGATTTTTGCAGGGTCTCTCGTCGCCTCCACCACCGCTACTCTCCATCCAATGGTCTTCGCTCTTTTTATTTGAGCTTTTTTCCTACTAGTGGACTTCTGGTATTCTACCCAGCTTTCTTCTGTGCCCAATTTTTTAAATTTTCTCCTTGGCCTTCGGGTTTCCTTTACCGCCTCGGGGCTATTATATTGTATTATTATTGTCCTTTCTGCTCTCAGATAAGCTTTACTCAAAAACTTATTTGAAAGTCATGTGATATCTATGTATTTGTATTCCGTGACTCGGTTGGTATTCCACACTTTGTATGACTGTAAACTAGACGTAAAATTTTATGCAATATCTAAGAGAATAATAACGATATTACATCAGCAGGTAGAATACCCGAAAGGATGATCAAAACCCTTAGAAGCTCTCAAAGAAATTGTCTGAAAGTAGTAACTGGGGTATACAAATCGACCAGCACCAGGGTGCTGGAACATTAAACTGCTACTCTTCCGTTAGAAATCTACTTGAAGCAACAAAGGGCCCAGTATGTAGGCCGTTCAAATTCCATACCAGTTCAAAAGACTATCCAATCAGCATGTACTAAAATAAAACTTCCCAGAAGAGGAAGAAAAGATATTAGAGCAAATAATAGAAGAGCAGACCTTGCATACTGGAAAGAGACTTGCGGAGAAGAGAAATCCAAGGACTTACAAAAAGAAGCGGTAAGAGTTGCAACGAACCTAGAATTGGCGAAATCTTGGTCTGCCACAAAGCGAACTCGACAGCCTAAAAGATTTGCTTGAGCAGATCCTAAAACTTGGGCAGCAGCAAAGTTCTACCAATGCCGCCATTCTGGACGTACAAAAATAGGCTTCCGGTAGTCACCATTTTCTCTCCACTAAAACCTGGCGAGAGCCCAAAGTAGCTTAGCAATCCAAATTCGAAGCGAGCATATCGGGCTCAATTTAAATTTGCATAGAAGAAAAGTACCAGGAGTCTACGATCCATGCTGTCCATGTGGCTACCAATCACAAAATCCCAAGCATATGATCATGTCCTACCCTTAGTGGTCAATCGGTAGGAGTGAGATCTGGAGAAAAGCCCGAAAACGCTCCTTTGAAGCAATGATAGACAACTCTAGTGATATTAAAAGAGTTCAGCAATGGTTTTTAGTCATGGTTGAATAGAACAATTCCGCATGACAAATGCAGTCGAAATGCTGCTCAGGGAACGAGACGGAACATGTAGAAGGTTGGGGTCGATAGAAGGGACGTGATTGGTACACATCGACGGCGTTACAGCGTAACTGTGCTTCCTGAAGGATAAATTGCAAACTATAAGAATTAAATCATAGAGCTTGGGGGGTTTTCACCGAGAGGTTTCCTCCTATTCAAAAATATAGAAAGATTTACAGCCACCTGCATGGGCCCATAGGGCGCCAAATCAGGATAATGAACACAAATTAAAAGATATTACATAGACAATCCTATTGTAAAGAAACTTATTTCGAGAACAAGTATCCACACGCAGCTGAATCAATAGCTGGTATGAAGTATACTCTTAATTCCACTGTCACTTAAATATTCAACAACTTATATAAATACCCCTTGGTTAGTAACGTTGTAATGAAGTAACTACAAGCAGAATGCCAGTGGATCGACTCCATGTAGTCGAGAAAATGAAGCTAGGTCTGGAAGCAGAGAGCGATGGTTAGCTTCCCTTTCAGCTAACACAGCCTGCGCTTTCTCTGATGGATCGTCATCGGGTCCCGGAAAATCAGCCTGGTGTTATGTAGTATGCCAAGGAGGTAAGCTAGTTGGAAGTGGTTCCGTCTTCCCGGGGTAGAGGTTTTCGACGCGGAAGTTGTAGGCGCCATAAAATCCTTGAAGGCTACAATAGAGGTAGGAGAAGACCTGCCGATTCGCATTCTTCTGGACAATCAAGCGGCCGCCTGGGCGCTCGACCGAGGCAGATCAAATTCCTCGCAGACAATGGTGGACAAATTTTCATCGCTGAGACATGATGAGGGTGTGGAAGTTTGCTGGATACCTGGTCATGTGGGGATCCAAGGCAATGAAGAGGCCGATAAGCTGGCCAAATCAGCCTTGGGAGCTCCCAATAACCGGTCACTAGCCTAAGTTGCGCCCAGTGGAGAAGATCAACATCTAACCTTTGCGGCATTAGGGAGGTGGGTTAAACTGCGCGGCTAAGAGCTCGTGGAATAGTGGTGGTAGAAGTATCGACCGAAACGATACAAAGATCTAGACCTATTCATGCGTTGCAAAGGACCACCGGAACTGGCTCTACCGAGATTGGTGTACCATCGTCTGATTGAGGAGAAGAGATGGCAGAAGTTCATCCAATTTCTAACTACAAGTAGATGCTACAGTCTGCCGAAGAATGAGTAGAGTGAGAGGTTACCACGCTGAGACGGATTCCAATTCGGGAGGGGATGTGCTTGGAAGATAAAGATGCAGCATATGGCACTGTAACTCAGACATTTACTGCACTTTTTTCATTTCTTTTGTCGCTTCTGGCTTTATTGCCGTTCATGTAGGTAGCACTGAGCTCTCAGAGCTCATCTACCCATGTAACCTCTAAATATTTATCAGGTCTGTCCTGTTACGTTAAAGATTTCAATTTCAAATAATGACAATGGTTTAATCTTGGCCTGAGGCCATAAATTTATTAATGCCTGTCCGCGCTGTTAATTATCATCATGTAGTACTTCAAGTTTGTAAGGCTGAAGGACTAACCCGAGGGTAATCATTTTCCCGGACTGAAGGAGCTCTCGGAGCTTGAATTATCTAACTGTGCCAGTATAGGCTATGCGTACCTGATCTCAAATTACATCATACATGATTTTACAGGAATTAAGCTCACACAGTTCCGCAACACAATGTCTTCCTCTCATCAAGACAAAAGAAAAATGACTCTAAATTATCATTATCCATTTGCAGCAGCCCCAGATATCATTCGTTCCCATCAGAAGGATATATACTTCGAAGGAGTCCTACTCAATCACCTATCGGCAGTCATACGACACCTCTATGGGGCCCGTTTACTTCATACCTATGCCCATCAAGCAAGAGCTTTTTCTAGCTTTCTATATTTAGGACTAACTACACTTATTGGAAATCGGACTCTTGGAGAAGAGTACTGCGATATCGTCCAGGTTGAAGATGATACTCTCAGACTACCAGCAATAGGGAGACGGGCAGGATATATAATAACAAATATCTTGCTGCCATATGTTATAGGTAAATTACTACCAAAGTTTCGTTCTCGTATTCAAGCAAAGTTTGAATCAAATCTACATCATCTGACAATAAACGAACAAACTAAAGGTTTAAGCTATAAGATCCAGACTTATCTGCAAGAAAATATGATTGCTATTACATCAACATCATCCGTTCATGCTATTAGTCTCACAATATTTTATTTTACTGGGGCTTACTACCAGCTTTCTAAAAGAATCTGGGGACTGCGTTATATATTTACCAAGCGCATTACGCCATCCGAAGCACGCGTTGGATATGAGGTATTAGGAGTGCTACTCTTTTTACAAATCAGTGTACAGACATGGATTCATATCCGAAATACATTGCAAAAATATGCACCTTCAAATGCTGCCGAAGATACAGATGAAATTCGCTCAAATGCTCCGATTTTGGACCCTCTGAACCCAACTCAAATCAGTCCACTCCTATCCAACTTGAGCTCACACATTCAACCCTCTCTCAATTCGGTATTGAAAACACACAACATAAAAAAGCTTGCTGGACCAAGATACGACCTAAGAAATTCAGAAATAATGCCTTGGATCAAGGATCAAAATAGAAAGTGCACGCTCTGTTTAGAAGAGCTAACTGACCCAAGTGTAGTTAGCTGTGGGCATATGTTTTGCTGGCTATGTATCGCGGATTGGATCAAAGAAAAGCCTGAGTGTCCACTCTGTAGGCGAGAAGTTGAGATGCAACACGTCTTACCGCTGCAGTGTTGAATTTCAAGATAAATTCTGTAATATTTCAGCTCCCTCATCATCTTTGCACCTCTTGCGAAAGTACAGGGCTCCCAATTCTCCTTTACCAGAGGTTAGGATTGAAGAGGAAGGAATACAGCCTATTTGTCCAAAATCACATTACGGTATTTTGGGATAGAAATTGGCTTTAATCAGTCAAATCACGGCTATCAAATGTGATAAGCTTTTCCAGTCATATAAATATATGAGGATCCAAAGTACATATCTCGTATCACCGCAATTTCTTCAAAGATTCAGACACAAGAACTTTTAACCATTATTCACAATTATCGCTATTACTTACCGTCATCGTTCCTGATTTGAAGCTGTTATTTTTTAGTCAAGTCAGCCTCGCTAAACTGCACCCCCATTAACACTACAAAGATCTCAATAGTTAAGATTAAGGCTGTTTTTTTAAGCACACAAGTACTTCGTCTCATACCAGATCCATATCAATTCGAAAGGGTTTGAATCCAATCATGTTCAAACACGCCATGCTAGCTCTGGCACATCCGTTTCTGTGTCATCTCAATGCCAATCCCCCCAACTGTTCTCGGGAAATCGGTTTATTCAGCTATAGATTGCCCATTCAAGATATGAGTTGGAATACTTTATGGTACATTGAAGCCACCTGAGACACATTAGCGTTGAGATCCACCTTACAGCATTTGCCACGTTCCTTAACATTCATAATCTACTTTACATCAATCGTCATTTCTAGGACTGTTCAATTAATCTTGAGGTTGGACGAATTCTATCCAAGCTATCTACCAAATTTACAATTGGCTGAACGGCGTTAAATTATAAAACTCTACATGATAATAAATGTTACGACAGACACGGTTATTCAGAGAGTGGCATTATACGAATTTAATGTTTGATAAACAAGATAACTACCTCAAGAGCTCTTCAAAATAATCATACATCTCTTAACCGAAATTTACTGTTAGTTGCAAAAAACTGGGGTATAATTTGCTAATTAATAAATCATAGTCATTGTAAAATTCTAAATAGTAAGACCACTTGTCCACCATTTGTCTCCAGTATGCCACCTAATATATAGCTGAGGCCATGACCACCATCCCGAACCTGTCTCAGAAATACCGAGACCTTGCATGATGCTGATAGGAAATGCCGGTAATAAACAAGTCCCACCGCGGACTAGCTCCTCAATAAATAAATTGCTTGTTAAGAATAGCCAGACAAGAACATAAAGAAAATTGCCAGCATAACGTATGTCCTGGGGTATCTTATTGAGGTAAGGCTGAACGGTCGCACATAGAGCTTTTTGAATCAAAATTCCCATGGGTTGGATTATGAAGAATAAAGCCATACGAACGGCATTAGTGTTAATAAAAAAAACTATGCATCCTGCCCAATGCATGAGTGCAGATAGGCAAAAGGCTACCATAAGAGAGCATAACATAGCTGCAGAAGAATGAGGCTTAAGGTAGTCATTCTTGATAAGGTACCTCGTAGGTGTAGTAAATACTATTCGAAATGACTGGTGCCAGAAGCCTCCCCAAAAACCATCTAGTCCCCTTTCAAGTACATTCGAGAAGGACCCCCAAAAACTAGGCCAGTACCATGGTTCGGCGCTCAGGCCAAAGATTCTTGGCCCAAATATACCTGAGATAACTACTGCTGGTATAGCAGAGTTTATGTAAAGTGATAAGGTTATTGCACAAAACTCTAGAATTTGACGATAAAGCCTCAGTATACTAAGAGGTAACAATTGTAGATATGATGGTAGAGCAAATGTAGTAACCCCAAACTTGAAAAATGGGTCTTTCATCATTAATAAAATGATCGTCTCCAGTGCTAGAAAAACAACGAGAATCCGCGGTATTTGTGAACGGAGAAGTTGGCCGCGGGAGCGAAATGCCTTCACTCCAACGGAAGAAACGCCAGTATAAGATTCTTCAGGAATGGGCTCTCCTAGGCTTTTTAGTACCTCTGGCGGGAATGGTGGTAGAGATGAAATAGCCCAGTTCCAGCCAACACCTTTTAAGTTGGTGACAAGGTCAACTACCCAGGGGATACGCTCCCAGAGATTCTTAGGATATGGCTGCCAATAATACTGATAGGACTCATCAGCGATGACATCTTGTATACCAGCTGGAAAATCAATAGTTTGTGACTTAGGCTTGCGTCTTCGTAGATTTTGGTCGGCTGATAACATTGATATCCCATCGGATCCAGTGTGGTTGGGCTTGCTGCCCTGAATCTTCGTCCGCCGTAGTCGCTTCGCATCGCGTTGTGGATCTCGAAATACTAACCAGGTCCAGCCCAGAAGTATCACCAATATTGAAAATACTCCACATACAAACCCCATGCCAAAGTTGATTGTAGCACATTTCCAGAGTAGTTGCCACTGAAACCATGTCAGATAAGCAAGTATCGGCCATCGAGCTGCATGAATGATGGGACTATTTTGGTGCGGAATACAGAGATAGAAGACAAGAATGATAAAGCCCCAAAGATAGTATGGGTAGACAATAGGATGGACACTTCCATTGTTAACGCCGTTTTTGAAGTACTCCAGATATTCTGCGACGATAACTCGTGCCGTAGGAGCAGTCTCGGTCGATGATAAGTGCGGGAAGATAGTTGTCATCCTGGAGTACGGCGAGAAGTTGCCTGTTGATAGGCGGGCAGGAGACGCGGGAATCACGACAAATAAAAGGTCTGATCGCTACTTGACTAAATTACCGCAGCATTTGATATATTAGTAGTTTTCGAAAGCATCAGGGCATATTCCTTGCATGCATGTCTGATACGCTCGACATATGACGCACTCGGTTTCCTGGATACCTAATCTGTGTCTTACTCCTCCGAATGTCCTGTGCGTATCCATCGTATTATCGTACAGACTAGCCTTGTAAATGACCACATCTTCAAATCTGAATTACGGCGTTGAGGATCCGGCGGCTTGTCAGGGTTCCGATAGGGTGATATGTAGAATGAGCGCAAACCCCATCAGGCAGAACAGCCCCGTAAGCTCTTCCGCTGATTGGTTTGTTGTGGGGGACAGACACACATCGTCAGCCCGAGTCGGTGTAGTCGCAACCCAAAATAGTTTCAATGATTACTATACCTTGTGCCTGATAATGAATTTTAATCTCAGCGTATGTCGGCAATATCGTATTCGGGATTCCCGTCCTACCACATTAGTATTAGCATCAGTGCTCATTTAGCAACACACAATTTCAGAATTCTCAACATCTTGAACCCAAAATGATCACGCCCGCAAACAGTGTTAAGATTTTGCGATCCGCATCATCAAAGTATCTAATTTCCACTGCAAAAAACTACAGTCAACATGTGACTAAGCCACGATTCAAATGGGACGACCCGTTAAATATTCAAGCTTTTCTCACGGAAGAAGAAATCGCAATTCAGCAAACTGCAGAGTCGTACTGTCAAGAAAGATTAAGCCCACGAGTCCTTCGTAAGCTTTTCCTACTTGATATATAGTACTTAACAGACATATAACAGAGTCATATCGGGATGAATCATTTGACAGAAATATAATAGAAGAAATGGGTGACCTAGGCTTGCTTGGCGCCACGATCAAAGGTTATGGATGTGCTGGGGTCTCAAGCGTGGCATCTGGGCTAATTACGAAGGCCGTTGAACGAGTAGATAGTGGCTACCGATCGGCTATGTCTGTTCAGTCTTCGCTAGTTATGGGAGGAATTAATGCATTTGCTACGCAAGCGCAAAGAGAAAGATTTCTGCCCGACATGGCGAAAGGAAAATTGCTCGGTGCATTCGGCTTGACCGAGCCTGATCATGGTAGCGATCCTGGAAGTATGAAGGCTACTGCCAGACGAAGCCCTACGAAAAAAGGATATTTTTTATTGTCAGGCTGCAAGACCTGGATTACAAATTCAACGATTGCAGATGTGCTACTGGTCTGGGCGAAACTGGTGGAAACCAACAAAATACGGGGATTCTTGGTTGAAAGATCGTCCTGTCCCGTTGGAACATTGGAGACCCCAGCAATAAAGAATAAGAGCGGGCTTCGTGCTTCGACCACTGGTATGATTCACCTTGATGAGTGTCCCGTTGCAGAGGAAAATATGCTTCAAGGGGTGGAAGGCTTGACAGGACCTTTTACATGTTTAAATAATGCTAGATATGGTATTGCCTGGGGTACTATGGGTGCACTCGAGGATTGTATAGAGAGAGCGCGAAGCTATGCCCTCGCGCGCAAACAGTTTAAGCAGAATCCCATTGCAAAGTACCAGCTCGTGCAGAAGAAGCTCGCCGATGCCGTAACGGATGCTGCATTCGGCACTTTGGCTGCTCTTCAGGTGGGAAGACTTAAAGATGCTGAGAAAGCGGTCCCTGAAATGTTCAGTATGATTAAGAGACAAAACTGTGATCGCGCATTGCACAATGCTCGGGTTCTTCAGGAGATATTCGGTGGGAATGCTGTGAGTGATGAATACCACATTGCCAGACATGTAGCCAACTTATTTGTCACCCAAACTTACGAAGGCCAAAGCGATATTCACAGTAGGTCGAGCAATCCCAGCAATAGTGGGTTTCATTCAGCAGGTTGCGACGCTAACTAATATAGGTCTCATTCTCGGGAGAGCGATTACTGGCTTGCAAGCTTTTGTCTAGAGTTCAACTAGGACTCATAACTACAGCTATTCAGTAACACGCAAAATCCTCTAGCTATGAAAAGGATATGGATCACTTGCGTTCTAAATTTGAATTGATACATGATAGAGAAATAACCCTCATCACAACTGCGCGAGACTTTCGGTAAATCAAATTATGAAAGAGGGGCCCGGTGTATCATTTATACTGCTAGCAAATCAAATACGTTTAGTTGTCTTCTGGCCCCTTGGCTCATGACTCTATCAAGAAAAGCATATCGTTTGTGGATACGAAAAGGCAGCTTTGAAGGATCGAAAGCTATCCGGAACCGCCGCTTGATTGACTCCATTCAACATACACACGTACCTATCAATCCTCGTTCACATTATTTATTAACGTGTTTTCCTCAACCCCTTGAGAATTACGCTTCTTGCCCCTTTTCTCAAGTGAAGCCTCCTATTAGCGAATAAATTTCCAACATGATATCCCGCCTTTGGAAAATAATCAGACTGGGTTATGAGTGAGGCCTGTCTCTGAGAATCTGCCGTATTAAAACTTATATACACGTAAAAGAGCCCCAAAGCCAGCAGGCATCAAACAAAAATACTCTATCACAAGGCATATCCCTCAGTTTCTATGAGAGCAAGGTTGAAAACTATCAAATCGGAATTTGCAAAATGTAGCTTGTATCTCATGTAAATCCAGAAATCCTCCATAGTCATTGACTCATTTAGGACAAGAATAAAAATTTAATCTAATCTCATCATGCAAAATCAGACTTTTAGATCAGGTGCCAAATATAGAATCTACATCTTCTAATTATAGGTAAGTGTAAATTTCGTACGTAGACTTTTTCATGGACAACCTTGGCTGCGAATTAAAGGCGGAAATTTGATCAAAGTGTAAACATACTGGGCTATGCTCAGGGTTTGAAAATAAAGAAAACTAGTTTCTTATTTTAATGTGCCGAATACAAGCCCGGTATCTGATAAGATATGACACGGGCAATTGATACCGAGAGACACAATACTACCAATATGAACAATTCAGGAGGAGGAAAAGACTGAACACCTGTACGCCGTTTCGACTGTTACAAAGAAGGGAGACAGATGAATATGCGAACCTCATGTGGTCCCGGTGTCTAGGCCTCGCCTGGCTGGGGCTGCAGGTTTTTTGAGACTTTTTCCCGCGCTCGCAGTTTCGATTGCTACCATCTTTATTGTTTTTGGGTAGAAGGTTCCGTGGAAAAGGTGGCTGAATTCCACGGGTAAATACTGAGCTGAATGGCTATTCGTCAAGGGGAATATATCAATGATCTTTCAAGTAACAAAAGAGGATAGGAGCACTGTACAAGGTGTGGCCTGGGTCAGAGAGGAGCCCAATGTGCTAGATAGTCATAGACTCAAGTTGCACAATAAACACAAACACACACCTGTACGCCGTGTCTTCTACGAACCTGGGAGCGAAATATTCTCCCACAGCCAAGTTCAGTCAAATTTCGTAATACTCAAGGAGTTGGCCCACGAGGCAATGATTCAAAATACTCCACCATGTCAATTTTTTACTCCCAAAGAGTCCGACTCATACCTAAGCCTCATCAAGCCTAGAAGTACGACCAAGTACATCCTCATTCCAATGATCACACCTCTCGTCGACATTCTCTGGCCTCAGCTGGTCACCAAATACACGCCCACGCCGATATTTATAACCGACGGAGGAAACAAAGCGTCGCGCACAAATCTGGGAGACTATTCTTTGGGATTGGCATGAGAGGATTCAGGATAAGTTCACAAGATGATGCAAAGAATGGATATAACCTCGAAGGGCATGAAATTTCGAATTTTGGCAAGAGTTTTCCGAATTGAGCTTTGTGCGCGCCAAGACCTCGCTTGCGAGAGTGCAGCTGACACTATAAAGAAAAGCCAACGATGGAAGGTACCGTGGTCCGCCTACTGTTGGTGTACTCAGGTATGGTTTGGGTAACCTGAGCACCTACTCCACTTGGGAAGGAGAAGCCTGAGACCACATTTCGCGCGGAGAAAAGTCAATTGATGACGGAGGCATGTCTGAATAACTCAGGGGTTTGGAGACGTTTCCCTGGACGGGTGTTCGTGGGTGAGGGGTGACTTGGGGTGCAGAAGAAAGCTACCATGACTTCGCAGTTGTACTTGCAAGACAACCCCGAGCCATGAGTGCCCTTCCTATATATTGAGTCATCTATTTTGTACTCCTCTTTTATATTAAGTCATATCTAGAAAGCTGCATACGCAATTAAAATCTGATGCAAAAAAAACTCAGTTGAGCGGTGCATTATATTCTCGATTGCCTCCAAATGCAGTCCCAAGTACAGCTACAAGAGTGTGACCAAGATCATGCGATCATCAATAGAAAGAGAAATTTACCGTGGACATCATTACCTTTGCACAAATAGTTGCTCTTTAATTACTTAATACAACAGCTATCTACTGATATTCTCTTCACCTTTGACAATCACACGTTAATGAAGATGCTATATTATGTTTTCATATCACGAGCTCCAACGGAGATGGGGTTATCTATTTGTAGCTTTAATCCCCAAGCTCTCCACTTTTCTGCATCTCCTTGTTTTTGAGATTCGAAGACGATCGTTCTTACCTTTTACGTCGCGAGTCACAAGATCTCAGTTCGTCAGCGCCATATTAAAAACATCTGAATATTCATTCCACTAAAGCACCAACAACAACCCAAATTTTCTCAAGTTTGCCATACGCCTCGTGTGTGCCGCACAGAAAAATATATTTTGGATACGACATCAGATTAATGAGTGGCAAATATCTGTCACATTCTTCGACCTATCTTTGTCTAACTTCACGACGGGATCAGAAAGTTAGCCCACAGCAGTTTTTGCCACCTATACAATGGATCAGGGCGAAGTAATCCTTCTACAATCGCTCATTTCAGCCAAAGTCACATTAATTGAAACCACATTTATCCGGAAATTTCGTATCCGGTTGAATGAGCTTTCCACATGGAACTGGCCTATTTCGTTAGATCTCGACTCTAGCTGCTTGTATCCTTAGTGGGGAAATTGAGAGAAACCTTCAAACGAGGAAAAACGGGATAAGTAAGGTTATAAAAGAATCCTACTCAATCATCTTCTCGAAAAAATTTCAACCATATGGAACACCATCTTAAACATCTCTGTTCTCTTTCATAAAATTCTTCTCGACATTAATTTTTGAACAAGAATCCCTTAAAATGCGATTCTTCTTGTTAATTCTCGCCCTGATGATTGCTGGCTTCATGGCTGTGCCAACTGGGCCATACATTGTCAGTAGAACGAACAAAAAGACCACTGGCACGAAATTTTTGGAAAAGCTGGACGGATACCGTTTCCAGGGTAAAGTTGATACTTGGTCTGAAAAAATGAGAGGTACTCATTTCACTGATCTGACTATTAGCCACAGAAATAAGAATCTAACTTTTCGAATAGAAACCATAGAAAATGTCCTAGAGAAAATCTCGACATTTACTAGGAATAAATTCGGAAAGAAGGCTGGATCCATCTCAAAGCCATCAGGAACAAAATCGATGACTCCTGCAGTGAGTGACGCCTCACACAGCTATCATAGCAAGAGATTTCTCCAGCAGTATCCTTCTGGTTATCGACTTGATGGGAAAAAGACTTTTCCATACTATAACAAGAAGTCTAAGGATCACCTGGATCATCTCTTCCGAGAGTATCAAAAATCTTCCGCCGAATGATTTGGCTCGGCAGACCTTCCGTAATCGGAATCCCCTTCTACGGGGAATAAATGTGGTAGAGTTCCACCTCATCAAAAGATAATTGATCTTGAGATACAGAGTTGACCAGCTAACAAATTGCAGAGGAAATTTTCTCGTGAATTTTTGGTGTCGGTCAAGATTATTGAGTTACTTGGAAGCCAAGATTCCTAGGAAGGCCGATTCATCTGCATACACTAATATTTGAGTGGTGGTGTGAAAACGAAGTTCAGATGTTCTCAAGAAAGATACGTGGGACATGGTATTGCGTTATAAATGTTGACTTTTTTTGCATCAGATTTTAATTGCGTATGCAGCTATCTGGATATGACACAATATCAAAGAAGAGTACAAAATAGATGACTCAATATAGAGGAAGGGCACTCATGGCTCGGGGTTGTCTTGCAAGTACAACTGCGAAGTCATGGTAGCTTTCTTCTGCACCCCAAGTCACCCCTCACCCACGAACACCCGTCCAGGGAAACGTCTCCAAACCCCTGAGTTATTCAGACATGCCTCCGTCATCAATTGACTTTTCTCCGCGCGAAATGTGGTCTCAGGCTTCTCGTCCCAAGTGGAGTAGGTGCTCAGGTTACCCAAACCATACCTGAGTACACCAACAGTAGGCGGACCACGGTACCTTCCATCGTTGGCTTTTCTTTATAGTGTCAGCTGCACTCTCGCAAGCGAGGTCTTGGCGCGCACAAAGCTCAATTCGGAAAACTCTTGCCAAAATTCGAAATTTCATGCCCTTCGAGGTTATATCCATTCTTTGCATCATCTTGTGAACTTATCCTGAATCCTCTCATGCCAATCCCAAAGAAAAGTCTCCCAGATTTGTGCGCGACGCTTTGTTTCCTCCGTCGGTTATAAATATCGGCGTGGGCGTGTATTTGGTGACCAGCTGAGGCCAGAGAATGTCGACGAGAGGTGTGATCATTGGAATGAGGATGTACTTGGTCGTACTTCTAGGCTTGATGAGGCTTAGGTATGAGTCGGACTCTTTGGGAGTAAAAAATTGACATGGTGGAGTATTTTGAATCATTGCCTCGTGGGCCAACTCCTTGAGTATTACGAAATTTGACTGAACTTGGCTGTGGGAGAATATTTCGCTCCCAGGTTCGTAGAAGACACGGCGTACAGGTGTTCAGTATTACCCTCCTCTCAACTGAGTTGTAGCTTGTCAATTCACCCTTAATTCCATACTCTAATCAGGATCTAATCACAAAATCTCTCTCTCGTCTTCCTAGAATGTTTCC